CCCACACACACACACACACATATGCACCGGCACACACGCACACATCCACACAGCCACGCACCCTCAACGTATGCACTCCCAGCAGTCGAGCACCCACCTTTGGCAGCCTTACTGAGAAGTGATGATAGGGCAGCAGGTCCTCATAGGGCTGCTGGACCCCGTCCTGCCAGCATGAGTCGTTATTCCAGTCAGGTTAGTCATCAGGTTGGACTCGTGTCAGTAAACACGTGACTTGAAGGTCCCCAGTGAGCTTGAGGCGAGTCATGGAGGTGCAGCCAGCTACCGTGCGTTTGGAGTGGCTGCAGACAGCACCTCAGATCAATACAACCCGACATACACGTCGACACGCACGTACACACGCATTTGCGCAACCAGACGTACACACACACACACACTCTCTCTCTCTCTCCCTCTATCTTACACACACACACACACACACACACACGCACGCACCCGCACACACACGCGCGCTTGCGCGCACCTGAACAATGACGGGGATGCACCCCATGGCCACAGCCTCACTGAGGCGCATGCCCCACCCATGACCATACGGCGCGAAGCAAAACTTTGCCGCGCGCATCGCCGACTCGTACTCGTCCCAAGTCATGCCGCCGGTGACTAATCGGACGTCGGGGTGGGAGGCGAAGAGGCGATGCAGCTCCTGGGGGTTGGGTTGGGGTGGGCGGTGCAGGGACGTTTCAATCAGGCGTGTTGCTGGTGGCAGTGTCGACGATCTGTTTTGTGATGAAAATGATGGTAGATGTGTATGTAGTATGTGTGTTTGCGTGCGTGCGTGCGTGCGTATGCGCGTGTGGCCCTTTGTGTGAGCACGCACATGCGTGTGAGTTGTGTGTGGGGGGCCTGGGTGGAAGGATATGAGAGAGAGAGAGTGAGCGTTGGGCGGTCTTATGGCGTCTGATTCAACCCCTGGGCAGCGCCAGGTCTGACGCAACAGGCCCACCCAGCACCTCACCCCGTTTCCCGATCATGCCAGGGACATGTTTCGCGCCGCGCGCACACATACTCACACAGCACAACCCTCACCACCACGAACACCCACCTGCCGAGCCCCTCCGGAATACGACCTGTCGGCCTGTCTCACGTCTCCGGCAAAGAAAAGCAGGCTGCCGTTCTTGTCCACCGCCGCGCCCGCCGCCCCGGCAGCTGCCGGGAAGCTGCGATTGACCAGCGCCTCTTGTCGGTCGAAGAACGGCGCCGCCACGATGTCACGGCTCGGCCTATGGCACGCCCGCCGCTCCGCGTCTTGCGCGGCGCGCAGCTCGCCGCCACCACGGCCCGCGGCGGCGGCGGCGCCGGGGTCGTAATCAGCGCCGTCCGAGGTTAGCGGGAGCATTCCGAAGTGGGTGATCTTGATGGGGGGTCCGAGGAGGGGGTCTGAGGGGGGGACCAAGCAGGCGCCCTTGTCATTTGGGAGCCACAAGACATGGTCGCGGCCCTTTGGGGGTTTGAGGGTTTCGAGGTTTTGGGGAGCAGGGAAAGGATCAGGTGAGGAGGGGTGGGTGGGGTCGGGAGGGGTCGATGAGGCAAAGGTGAGAAGAAACACTCCACTGCTTATAAAAGGGCCATCTCATGGTTCTGCCAAGGCTGCATTTACACTCGCATGTGTGTAGGCAGACCTGCTGATGCGATCATAAACACGTGCGCACGTGCGTGCAAGCAACACACACTCTGCTCACCCCGGTGACGTTGAACCACGGATGTGCGTCTCTGACGTATGACATCACCCGCTGCAGGTGAGTCAGCACGTCACCCGTGTTTGACGAGTAGGAGTACGACTCAGCAGGCACGAAAAACAGGTTGGCCTCAAATGGGTTCTCAGTCCTGGTACAGTTTTGAAACAGGCAGTGGGACGTGGGCAGGTTTGAGCACGTGTTTAATGGTTTGTTGACTGGGGTCGCCGCTCGGCGCGCTGGATTGTTCGAAGGGAGGAGGTCTGGACAAAGTCGGCAGAGGTGCAGCGGCGGCGAAAAGTTGGCCGGCGAGGCGCGCCGCGAGGGTGAGGAGGGGGCAGAGGGATTGATTGCAGCGGCAGCGCGCGCCCGCGCGAGGGGCCGGCGGCAAAAGGGCCACCGCTTGGGCGATCGGGCGGCGGCCTTGGGTGTTCTCGAGACTCGCTAGCCTGCACGATCGGGGAGACACTTGCGGCTATCGCGGTACCCCTGCCTCGGCCTGCACATAACCCGCGCTCGCCACACCGCGTCTGGAACCGCAACACACCTGACCGCCCAATCCTTCATCAACATCGATTTGAAATGCTTGTAAGCGATGTAGTTGGGGTGGTGCCACGCGAAGCCCGCGTCGAATTCAAACGCGGCGGCAGACTCGAAATCGAACGCCACGTTGGTGGGAAGTTCGTACACGTACAGTCGGAGCCCCGCGGCCGCGGGGCGCGTAAAGTTTGGCGAGAACACGCGGGAGCGAGAGCAGTCCGCACCCTGGCGGCGGCGGCGAGCATAGGAGGGGTTGATCCAGAAAGCGCCGGGTCAAAGCCGGTCAAACGGATGCGTGCGTGTGCGCCGCCACCGCCCTGGCAGCCGCCGCTGTCTGTCCAAAGCCACCCGGCTGCCGCCGGGCGCCCCTCAATCTGTCTTTCATCCCTTCCTACGCCTTGGCCCCGTGCCCGCCGCGATGCGCATTCTTCCGAGCACCCCGCACTCTCACTTCTCACCCAGTAGCCGGGGCGGCAGCGGCAGAAGCCGCCGACGCATTCGCCGCGCCCGCCGCAGCCGTTGAGGCAGAAGCCCTCGTGAACGTACTCGCACTCCCGGCCGTCGTACCCGCGCCTGCGGTTGTGTGTGCGCGTGTGTGGTTGTGTGTTTGTGGTTGCGTGTGTGGCTGTCTGAGAGAGCAAGAGAGTGTGTTCGCACGTGTGCACGTGTGCAAGGGGTTGTTGAAGCACTTGGTGGTCAGCAAGCACTTTCACAATCAGCACGGGCCACTCGGAGCCCGCAACCGGCAGGCTGCGTGGCTGGAGCGTTCTGTCGCCCTCGCGCTCGTGCCCCTCTTTGGGCGCCATGGCAGCATCTCTATCATTCCCATGCCTCCGGCGCGGGCGGGCGGGGCCAACGGCATAGCAGGCGCGAGCGCGGGAACTCACCAGCAGGCGCAGCGGGCCTCGCCGCCGCGGGCGACGCACTGGCCGCGCTGGCCGCAGGCACCGGGGCAGCCGCTCAGGGGCAGCGCCGTCACGCCGCCCTCCAGCTGCGGGGACAGGGGGCGGGTGCGGAGGGCGCGCGGGACAAGCAGTCATCAACCACCCCCTCCCCCGGTTGGCGCAAGGCGTGGTGCGCAGCACGCACGGCCTCGTATCCATACGGATTGCTTTTTGAAACCACTGCGCGTGGCAGCCAGCGCGCCCCCCCAAAAGGGCCAGAGCCGCGTCGCAAGGGACCCCTCGAGGCCGCCTGACAGCATCAACCCGTGTCTGCCCAGCGACCCCGCTGGCGCGCCCAGCGGGCCCCGGCGGAGGGTTCGCACCTGCAGGGCTTCCGCCCGCGAGATCCTCTCCCGCGCCTCCCCGCCTTCCAGGCCGATCCCTCGGAACCAGACCACAGGGCGGCCCGCCAGGCTGTCGTTTGCGGGCACGTCTGCGCCGATGATGGACGCGTGTCATCACCAGCACATGAGTGGCGGAATGCGAGGGCATGAGAGGGGGGGGAGGCAGGGGCGGGGCAATGTAAGGCGCTGCCCCGAGGATCCCCATTGTGGGCACCGGTCAGCCTCCAAATGCTGGCGCGCAGGGCACCTGCGAGCATCGCTCCCCTCTTGTTGGCAGCGGCTGGCGTGCACACCTGAAAACACCCCATCAGTGAGGAACGGCCCGCCGCTGCCCTCCGGCGCCGCCACCTCGAAGCACTTGGGCGCGCGCGTGTCTCTGTGCGCCTCGCACTCGCCGCCGGGGCAAAAGAGCCGGTGGCACTGCCGCAGGCACTCGCACGCGCGCGGCAGCAGCTCGCCGCACTGCACCGCGATCGCGTTTGGGCCGAGGGCGCAGGCGGGCAGAAGCTTCCGGGTGCAGGCCGGCCCTGCGTAACCCCAGGGGCATTCGCACCTGGCAGTTGGAGGGGTGCGAAGCGGGGGCCTGCCGAGTTAGTCAACCGGGGTTTGCGGCGTCCGCGGGAGGTTGCAAGAGAAGGTTTTGCGCCAGGGGGGGAGACTGGGGTGGAGGCGGCGTGCGGCAGGGCGCGGCTGCAGCCCGCAGCCGGCCAAACGCCAGCATGGATGCCCTGAGGCAGCCAGCAAGGCGGGTTGCCGGATGCAGAAGGACCTGCACCAAAGTTCATGATAAAGATGCCGTGAGACGGCCCGGCCGCACCTGCCCTCCTCGTGGTTGCAGTTGCCATTTGCTGCGCAGCCCGCGGGGCATCGCTTGCGCCACCGCTCGTGCGCCACCCCGCCGCCGCTGCCGCCGTCCTCACTGGCCGCAGCCGTGGGGCCGTTGGCGGCGCCTGGGTTGGGGCTGGCGGCTGCCGCTGCTTCAGCCCATAAGGCAGCGGCGACATCGGTCGCGGTCTCTGCCGCCGATGCCGGGCCGGCCCCAGGCGCGGGCGCGGGCGCTGGCAAGCCCGCGCCGCGGCCGATCCCGCTCACGCCGCCTTGCACAGCGGCGGCCGGCGCGCTTGCAATTGCGATCGCTCGGATCCAATGAGCCCGCGGCGCGTCGCAGCCAAATGCAAGCACTACGGCGGTAAGCAATGTGCAGGCGCAGACAGCCGCGAGGGTCCGGATCCAGTGCTGTGCGCCACGGCGCCGAGCACCGCCGACGCCGCCATTCGCTGCGGCCGGCAGCACCGGCGCAGCATGCCCCATATGACAAGCCAGCCAAACTATTCAAGTGAGCGGCTGCGAGGCAGGGGAGAAGGTGGTTCTTGATTGGCGGAAAGCGTCGGCGCTGCGTTGTTTTCAAACGCAGTTGCTAGCAAGGGCGCCGGCGCTTTGTGCTCACCATACCCCGCCTGGTCCTTGTACATGACGTAAAATCATTTGATTATGTCGGTGGCTGATGACCCATTCATACGCATCGAGTGCGAATACTGGTAATAGCTGCCATTGATGATCTACCGTGCAGATGACCAACTTTCTCAACTGTAATTGCAGAAAATTGCGGAGTTTTTGCACATCATGCCGCAACCCTCCCGCTGGTGGGTTCCCAACTTTGCGGACACCGCAACCGAAACTGGCCGACGTCTGCTTTGGACGTCATCAATCAGTTTCGAAGGGCATCAACATCAATTAATAAATTGTCTAAAATTTGGCTTTCACGATCCCTACGTGTTGTCATTGAAGCGGTGTGATCATCAGCAAGCCATGCTCTGGAGCCACCAGCTACTCACATCCGGGCCGCTAAGGGACGCTTGGATCGCCTTTAGCCGCCATGGTGGACTGACGAAGTCCCAGGTCGATGCCGCTGACATCCAAGGAAAGCACGCACAGCACGCTGCCAGGCGTGCTGTGCACCATATGCACCACTGCCTCTGGGCCCTGGTGTCCCACGTGTATGCCGTCTGAAGCACACATATCCACGTGCGCGCATGCAGGCGGAGCCGAGGCACTGCTGGCGCTGCTACCGGCAGGCAGCGAGTCGGTGCGCGCCGCGGGAGCCCCAGACGTGCAATCATGCAGCTTTATGCCGCGCGCCTGCGCTGGCGCTGCCCGGCAATTATCGCGTGTCCAATCGCTGCCAAGGACCGTCCTTTTTGCAAAGAGTGCCGCCGCACGCCCTCACAAGCCCACACCCCTCCCCCGTCGGCTTTGCCGCCGCCCGCCTTCGCCTTGCCCCAACGCTTGCACGCCAACCCTTGGCAGCAGCAGCAGCGCGCCTGGCAGGCGGGCCCCGCCGGGTCCCAGCAGGCGACGCCCCTGAGGGTGGTGGCGCCCCTGCTCTTCGGACTCGCGTCCATATACAAGCAGAAGGCGCGCGTGCGGCAGGCCTCGCCGCTGCATGAACTGCTGGCTGGCTCTGCCACGTTTTGCATGCAGATGGGCTGATCGTGATTGCTGCAGTGCAGGGGCCCCCACCCGTACCTGTTAATTTACCCGCAGACGCTCCCGCCTCGCCCCAATTTGCCAGCGTCTGCACCCTGCCCTGGGCACGCGCACTTTGCAAAGGCAGGAGCGAGTGCGCGTGCGCAGCACTTGCTGCCAAGCACACCGCCCCGCTTCTTGCGGCACGATCCTGCCCAATCATCCCTTGATCCCCACTGCAAGACATGGCATGTCTGATACAATTTATCAATTCACAAAACAAAACAGGTATATTTCCTCCACAAGGACGCTGTCAGGGTCCAGGCGGCGCTGCGTGCACTGGGGAGACCCCACGCAGCAGAGGACGTCGCCGCGCACACGCTGCCAGAGGGGTGCGTGCCGTGTGTGTGGATCGGCTCGCGCTCGTCGTGCGCAGGCACATCGCGCACTGTGTTTTCTTTTTTTGTCTATGATTTTTTTCACCAATCGGCGTTCCGCTGACTGATGGTGGGCACGCACACACGCACGCATGCACGCACGCACACACGCAAGATGGTGGTCACTTGCACACGCACATACCAGTACACACACACTACTCGCGGCCCCCCATCGCCCACAACCCCTTCCAGCCACACCACCGCGGCCCCTCACGCCATCACCCTGCCGCCCGCGCCGGGGGTCGACCTTTCTGATGTGGAGGCTGCGGCGCTGATCGCCGCCCAGGACGTCGCAGAATTCGAAGAGGCGCTGGTGGCCGGAGGCAGCGGCGGCGTTTGCGGCTGGCTGGGGGGCAACCGTGGCGCGGAGGCGGGGCGGGCGCCGTCCCTGGCGCAGGTGGGCGGGCCAGCCTTGTCTCGTACCACGTTTTCAGTAATGTGCTGCCGTTGTGCGGCGTACTGGCTGTTGCCGAAGTGAAGATACCGAAAGAACAGCCGTGCTGGCGCCAACCGATGTATATGATGCACCTTGGTGTGCCGTCGTGCCAGCGCGCACCCCCAACACCAACCGCGAACCGCCGGCAAACGCGCCCCCACCTGGACCCCGTGCAGGCGGCCGCGGGCGCTATGACTGCCCGCGCGGTGCGCCAGCGCCGCGACGCCGGCGGCGGCAGCAGCGCGGCGCTCGGCATTAGCACGCTGCTTCAGCTTCCGTTCGATCCACTGCTTGAGGCACCCTCTGGCGCATTCGATGAAGAAAATGGCATTCTTCACGCAGACGACCTCTTGCCGCCCTTTGGGGCCGCCGGAGCCGCTGCCGTTGCGGGCGAGCATGGCGGCGGCGGCGGCGGCGGCGGCGGCGGCTCAGCGGCAGACGCGGGGGCGGGAGGGATCTCCACGGGCCTCGAGGCGCTGGGGCTGGGCACGCCGCCAAGGGGGGCGGCCGAGGGGTGGTGGGCGGGTGAGGAGGCCGAGGGGTTGGAGTGGGGTGCGCAGGAGGGCGGCGCGCCGGGCCCGGGCGGGCGGTTGGGGACGGCTGAGGCTGGGAGTGCGGAAGAGGGAGGGGAGCCAACGACGCCGGCAGCCGGCGCGCCAGCTGCCGTAGGTGGCACAGCGGCGGCGGCGGCGGCGGCGCTGGTGTCGCCCTCCGCGCGGCGGCGCGTGCGGCTGGGCGCCTGCGAGCTTGGGAATGGCTCAACGGCGGAGGGGGAGGAGGGTCGCGCAGAGGAGCTGGCAGCTGCCAGGAGGCGCCTGGATCTAGAGGCAGGGGACGCCGAGGGGGCGGGCGCCACGGCGGCCGCCGGCGCGCCGGCGCCGGGCGCGCATGGGGGCAAGCGGGCGC